CGAACCGCTAGCCGCAATCACGACCAGAAAGCTTAAAGACTTCGTTTTCAAGAATATTGCGTGCCGCTTCGGAATTCCTCACACCTTCATCTCAGATAATGGGAAGCAGTTCGACAATGAGGAATTCAAACAGTTTTGCGACGAGCTGGGCATCCACAAAAAAATTCGCCTCAGTCGCAAGACCGCAAGCAAATGGCCAAGTTGAAGCTGTCAACAAAACCATCAAGCACACTCTGAAGGCCAAACTCGGCGCAGCCAAAAGAAATTGGGCCGACGACCTCCCCGAAGTCCTGTGGGCGTACAGAACAACTCCAAGAACCTCCACCTTGGAAACACCCTTTTCGCTGGCGTACGGATGTGAAGCAATGATACATGTAGAGGTGGGAACTGGTTCACTTCAGAGAGACTTGTACAATGAGGCCGACAACGAAGCACTTATGAGAGCAAGCCTAGACCTTGTTGAATAACATCGCAGCAAGGCTCTGCTAAGGATAGCAGCCTATCAACAACGCGCGAAGAAGTTCTTCGATTCAAAGGTCAGGCGAAGAGACTTCCAGGTCGGCGACCTCGTGTTAAAGGAAGTTCTTCTCAGAACCAGGAAACCGAGTGCGGGAGTTTTGGGGCTGAACTGGGAGGGTCCATACCACGTTGATAAAGTAATTAGACCGGGGACTTATCATCTCAAAAGGCTAAACGGTTCCAAAGTACCTCAAGCTTGGAATGCTGAGCACCTTCAGCCATACTATCAGTAACTCCGAACTCAATTTTCCTTGTAAATTAGTTTCTTATTTTTGTAAGTCATTTCCTTGTAAAGTGTTATTTTGCACGTTTGTAAGACATCTTTGCATGTGATCCTTTTCGTGCAAATAGGTTATGTTATCGCATTTGTTTAATGAATGTAAGCAATCAGAAAGTACTCATGTATAATGAAGCAAACAGAAATTGTATAAGTCAAAAATGTGAATTTTATTAATGAAGAGTACAGCAGGTAAAAAGATATAGCTAAAAGCCCTAATCTGGCTCCTAAAAGAACGACCTCAACGTCCTAGGGCTAGTCGGTTGAGGGTTTGTCCGAAGCATGTCCCGAACCACCTGCTCGGGAGGTCGCCGCTTCATCATCCTCCTGCGCCATCGACATAAGTGTTTCTCGCCAGTCCTCCTGGAGGTCGGACATATCGAGTCGCAGATTCCTCGGTCGTAGGACATAGATAGACTCGATCGCCCATTCGGCAGCCTTCTCCTCGACCTCCGCTGCCTGTTTCTGCATCTCCTCTGTCAAGGAAGCAACTTTTCCTTGACTTTCCTAAAGTTCAACTTCAAGAGCTTGCCTTAGCTTCTCTGAAGCCTCTCTCTCCTGTTCTGTTCGTGCGACCTGCAGAGAAGTCGTTTTGAGTTCCTGGTCCTTCTCCCCGGCTTCCTTCGAGAGTCTGGCTATGGTCCTTTGCAGCTCCTTTATCTCTTCTCCATGCTTCTCGAGCTGCGTCTTCTGGAAGTCAACTGTGCAAAGAGTCGCGTCCATTTCGTTCTGGTACCGGTTCACCGATTCGGAAGATAGGTTTCTTTCCGTTTCAGCGGCTTCTAGGCTTCGCTTAAGCGTTGCGTTCTCTTCCTTCAGCGCAACCTCCCCCTTTGCGGCTCCCAATTGAACCTTCTCCAGAGACATTTGCATGGAAAGAAGGGCCTGCGAACAAAGAAAGATAGAGTTAGCCAATCAAAAGAAGCTAAGGGTAGTGCTCGCCGAGGACAGTTCGCTCACCTTGCTTAAGTGCTAGACCGATGTGGACATCAGGTCAACGTCGCTGAAATTTGTGAACTGCTCGAATGATTCCGAGAGTCCGTATTCCAGTAAAGTATAGACCACTGGCTGCAGGTACTCCGACAGATTCCCCAGCGAGTCCAACACTAGAGTATCCTTCTTCGCGCCTTCAGCAGTGGTCATGTCGACTATCGGTTCCTTGCTCGACCTCCTTCCAACGTCCTTCTGCGACCTCTTCAGCTGCTCGCCCTCAGATTTAGTCTCTGACTCTTCAACCTGAATCTGCCTCTTCTTTTTTCACTGAGCCATTGTCTTCATTCTCGGGCGAGCAGGCGACGGCTGGGAGGCCTTCGTGGTTCGCATTGGCGCGTCTTCTATCGATTGTGGCTGAGAAGTTCCTAAAGGTTGCGCCGGTTGGCCCGATGTCACGCCCTCAGCCGAGGGGATGGTGGGAGCAACTTCGGTCGCCTTAGCTTTCTTCGACCGAGGAAAATTGAGCGGCCTTCGTCGCGGCTACTCGGGCTCCTTCGGAGGTATGGTCGCTGCATACAAGACATCGTTAGCAAAGGTATTCTATTTTACGACCAGAAAAAGAGTTAGTTAGCAGGACTTACTCGGTAGAGGCTCTCACGACGCGTTTGCGTTGAAGAACCCGTATTTTCGCAAATTCGTGATCATCACGAGTTTCTTCGCGTCGTGCTTATCCTCGGGTAGGGAGCCGAAGCGCATGATTCTTCTTCTATTGAAGAGCAGCCCTAGGTTGGTCGTCTTGTTAACTGTCAGAAAGAAATCAGGTCGTTAGAGCGAACACACTTCGAACGCAATGAGTTCGCAAAAACAATAAGCAAACAAAGAGAAAGAGGCCTACTCGGTTCCTGGGCAATGGTCATTGTAGCGAAAGAAGAAAAACTTCGTTTCGTAGGCCCCCGCGTTGCTGGGATAACTGTGTATCCCATCAGCGATAGTAGGTCGCCTAGACAAATAATACAAGTCCTTGTCTTTGCTCTTTTTCAGAAAATACGAGCAGCCGTGCTCTATCGCGGTCAGCTCGCCCAGCCCGTTCTCCTGGCACGTGATGTATATCGCAACAGCAATGACGTACGCGTTCGAAGTCAGCTACATTGGCGCGACCTCGAAATGGTCCAGAAATGACCTGATGAAAGGGTGGAAGGGGATTAGACCCCCACCCTTGATAATCTCCTCGGAGATCGCGGCCAGGCCGCTTGATGGATATCGCGATGAATGCATCAGGTCGCGGAAAACGTCCACCTCGATACTATACTGACTTATCACCCTCTCAAGCTCGTCCCCGGTAACTGCCGAGAAGACCTCGAGAGGGATGCTAGGAGCACCCTGCGGGGACGAGCTGGTTCCCTGCTCGGATCTGGTTACTGAGGGGTCCATTTTGCCAGTCTGCAAAAGCGACAAGCAGAAGGGTCATTCAACCGCCGTACGCTATTTCGTACGATGACGTGGGAGAAAACAGACCCCCTAAATCCCAAAGAAAACCCTAACAACACGATTCGAGCCACCATTCATGGCTCGAACTTGACGCAAGCGTCTCATCTCCGATGGGTTACCGAAAGACTAACGCCATTAACTCATGAAAATAATGAAACAATGGCAGAGAAGCTCTTACCTCTCAGAGTATGACAACAGCTTCTGCTTCAAATGTCAAAAAAATGTAGGTTTGGAAGACAAAGATCCCAGGTTTACGACAATCTTTTGCTCTCTGTGAAAAAGGCTCTGGTGACATTGCCTGAGAACGATTTGAGGTTTTTATAGCGTGTGAATCGGTGTTTGGATTTCCCAGAATCGAAACGACGTTTGGGCGGCAAAGATTTCTTACCGTTGATCTCGGCCACGTGTCGCTCATCAACAGGGAAGGGTGAACGAAACGACTGGATAAATCCTCATTTAATGCTCTGATAAGAGGCGTCGTTCCAACGTATAACGCATTTAATATTCTGATAAAGTGCCTTGTTTCAGCATACAACGCATTTAATGCGATTGGCTGGCATTTATCATGCACAGGACACACCTGTCAGCGCAGGGGTTGCTTCATTAAATGCATCCCTATCACCAGAACAACAGGTGATGTCAGAACGAAGTCAAGTCGTTCGTCCTCTACAAACAATGAACATACGAGGTCGTGCTCTTAAAAATTCCATCCCGACCTACTTTCAAACAGGCCAAAATTTTCAGAAATCATCCCGCTGCGGCATGACTTATAGTTTCCAAGGTTCAATCCTCAAACCTTAAAAACTAGGGGACTTCTGTTATGCCTAAAAAATATAAGGGCTGACGTCAGGTCCATTCAACCCACGAAAGTCAGATCATTGGAACAACCACCGCCTGCTTCCGTCAGGATAATGGGTGCGCGTCAGGCCAGTCAGGAGCTGTGGTGCTTCCACGTGTCCAATCCCTGCTCTAAATCTCGCAAATCACTCTAGAAGGTGGGCAATGTGACATAAAGAAGGATTTGCACGGATAATCCCACCAACTTTCAGATTTAGTGATCATGGCCTCAATGCATCCCACTATAAATTGGGAGCTCCTCTCTCATTACGGGGGATTGGCACATTTTATGCCTGATTAATTATTCTCTCTTTCCCTAGAATTCTTATCATTTGATACCTTGTAATATTACTGTAATGTCAGTTAGCTAAAAGCGACCTGACCATTATCATCAATATAAGCATCAGTGGACGTAGGACTTGCTACCTTAGCATCCGAACCACTTTAAAAACTGTCCCCATTGCATTTACTATCTCATTATCCTTCATATTCACGTGTGTCTTCTGGGTCTGCTCAGCATTTCACACGTGCGTTTCGTTGGTGTAAAAATCACGCATCAACACCTACCATTCAACTTCCAAAACCGTCGGTCCACATCATTTACATGCAAACACAACCAAATTTTGCTTAATAATTAAGATTTAGAACAACTATATATTAATCTCAAAATTGAAGTTTACTAATATAACAATTTAAGTTATACATATACACACATGTTACTATACCTTCCTTCACGCAGAATATAGGGATTATATTTATACATAACACAAAAGTCAAACATGAAGAGCAGATATGCAATATACTACTACAATTTGCACGCTTCCTATTGGTAGACCAGCAAGTCAATAACTACTGGCTAAACTGCTTCCTACTATAAATTTGACACCTGTCATTTTGTTTTAACCAGACAGTTTGTTGAATTATCTGGTATAGTCATCCAAAATCAATGGAGATGGAGAGAGTGCAAGCTTTGGCCTATGCTGGGCTCAACGAGCTTCCGGCTCAGTTCATCAGGCCAATCAATGAACGTCCCGAGAACAGTAAGCCCATCTCTGGGGTGACTGTACCTGTGATATCCCTATCACAGCCACGCCATGTCATTATAGAGGAGGTCTACAAGGCATGCAGGGAGTGGGGTTTCTTCCTTGTCACCGATCATGGGATATCGTCAGCTTTGATTCAACAGCTACAAGAGGTGGGCCAGCAATTCTTCGGGCTCCCCCAAAAGGAGAAAGAAGCCTATGCAAATGACCCAGCAACTGGTAAGTTTGAAGGGTATGGTACAAAGATGACCAAGAATTTAGATGAGAAGGTTGAATGGGTGGATTATTTTTTCCATGTTATGTCACCGAAAGCTAAGACCAACTATGATATATGGCCCAAACATCCACATACCTACAGGTAACGTCAAGTTTTATATGTTCAAAATAATATTATATATAAATTCGTTTTCATATATCATAAATTCAAGATACATTGAATATTTTTCTTTTCTTTATTTTTTTAATTCAAATTTTAGTATGATAGAAGTTTAATGTAATAATTTGTCCAAAATAAAATGTAGGTTTGATAATAATGATCATACTTGTGACGCAGGGAAGTGACAGAAGAGTACAACAAGGAAATGTTAAGGGTGACAAATGAACTCCTGGAGCTTCTTTCAGAGGGGTTAGGCGTGGAAGGGAATGTTTTGAAATCCCATTTGGGTGGAGAAGACATAGAACTAGAAATGAAGATAAACATGTATCCACCTTGTCCACAGCCTCAACTGGCCCTGGGAGTTGAGCCTCACACTGACATGTCTGCACTCACCATACTCGTCCCCAATGATGTTCCAGGCCTTCATGTATGGAAAGATGGGAATTGGGTTGCTGTCAATTACTTGCCGAATGCACTCTTTGTCCATGTTGGTGATCAAATTGAGGTAAATGTATTCTCTCATTCATTAGACTTAAAAAATATAATGTTTATATTAAAATAGATCTCATAATTTATGTGATGTTTCAGGTGTTGAGCAATGGGAAATACAAGAGTGTTCTTCACAGGAGTATTGTAAACAAGGAGCGTATGCGGATGTCATGGGCAGTGTTTGCTGTTCCTCCACATGAAGCATTGATTGGACCACTTCAAGAGCTCGTGGATGACGATCAAAACCCACCCAAATACTCAACCAAAACCTTCGCTGAATATCGATACCGCAAGTTTAACAAGCTCCCTCAGTAATACCACTTCCATGTCTTGATGCGATCGTACTATCTGTCGTTTATCATTTCTATATTTGTGGCATTCACAGTCACAAAAACTTTCTCATCAATCTTTACTGCATTAAAGTCCGAAGATACGTGGCATATGTTATTGGCGTCCCAAAACGGTGTGGTTCCTTTCCGCCGATAGGAGGGAGGAGGAATTGATTGTTACTATTACCAATTGCTGTGCTGTTTCAATAACTACTAGCTGTAGCCGAGTCAAACTCACGTGCTATTATTTTTTATTTATACTTTAAAAATAAATTTGATAATTTTATTATTAAAGGAGCTGTGAGTTTTAGTAGTTAATATTTTATTTCTTATTTCATTTTATAATTATACAGTTATATGTTTACAAGTATTTAATAAATAAATAAATAAAATTAGTTAATTTTAATCAATATGATGGTTAAAGAATCATTGGTGACAGCTGTCCAACTAAAATCATTGGGAGATATTCTATCTGATCCCAATCAAATCGTTACTTATGGCCGCAGGTCATTATCTATCATAGTCTATGATTCATATACAAGACAAGGATAAAAAATCATTATCTTGCTACTAAAACCTGCTGCTGTAGTTGTACAAAGAATTTTAATAGCTGACTAGATAGGATAGTTTGTTGTTCAATCAAACATTTTTATTGTACGATAATGGGTTAAGCATTTAAGTGGGTAGGCCCCTCGGCCCAGAAATTTTTTTTTTTAACGAAAAAACTTTTAATTTTGGATAAAAATGCCCTCCCACCACTGAAGTGGTCAAGTGGAGTGATAAAAAATCTTAGATATAATATTCGAGAAGTTTTGAGTTTGATTGTCTTTTAATGAAAGTAGTTATTAAATAATTTTTTTAATCGTTAACTTTAAGATTGATGAGAATTAATTGAGGTACGCGTAATTCTACCGTTAAAAAAAAAAATACCCTTTAAAATATGGAGTATGGTACAAGAATGTCATTGATTTAAATTTACTTTATCAGTTATACCCCTCATCTTTTATCTTTTACTCATATGTGTTATGTACTTATATCATATGATATTTACTTCTCTACATGACTACATATCTCATTAAAGGTGAGCAGGACTGACTCGGTTCTGGGACCAGCCCCATTTGGGACCAGTCTTTCATGGTCCCAGGCTCATGAAAAATAAGGTCCCAAATAATTTTATTTAACCCTTATATTTTTTATAGATTTTTATCTATTTGAGATTAATCGAAAATATATAAGGGGTTTAATATAATTTTTAGGGGTAATTTATAAATTTTTTAATTAATTAATTAATAAATAATTAAATATAAATGAATGGTTAAATGTTAATGAATAAGACTTAATTCTTAATTCGTTATAAATTTAAGGTGTTTTTAATTTAAAATTTAAGGAGATAATAATAATTTAATTTTAAGTTTTAACATAAATATAATATTCACACAATCACACTTCACAAATAAACTTTTAAATAAATTTAATTTTATTAAATTATTATTTTACATCATCAATAATATTTACATCCTCCAAATCTGTGTTTCTGAAGAAGTTGAGTAGTTCGGGATCTTCAGGGTGCTTTTGATCTCTTATGTCCGCATGAGTCCAATCCCATAAACATGTTATGATTTCAACCATCTCATTGGTTAAAGAACATCTTCTCTCTTTAACAATACGGCCACTAATTGAGAATGTTGACTTAGGTGCAATTGTCAAAATTAACACAAATAAAATATCACGTGCCATTTGGACTACTATAGGGAATTGACTTGCATTGTGGCCCCACCATTGAAGTATATTCATCTCACGCTTCTCCTTCGTGATCATGTAAGACATGTCCATTTGTAGGTACCGATGCAACTCATTTGGTCCAAGTTGTTTGACGAGCTGCTACTTTCACCACCACTATTGTCGCGTTCCACAAACCTCCAGGTGCTCGTTCCTTGTCATCTTTGGTCTTCATCAGGGTTGTCTCTGCTGGCGCTGGACGCTCCAATGTGCCTAGTTTGATACAAAGAAAAAAAGTTTTTCATTTTTTTGTTAAAGTCTATCAAATAAGAAATTTAGTCATATTGTAAATTATGATATATCTCAGCAACCATACGATTAAATACACTTAATTTAAATCTAGGATCTATAATAAGAACTAATCCATATAAAAATGGAATAATATCTAACCAATATTTCTAGTATTTTTTTTTCATTGAAACAACAATGTCGTGCAAATCTTCATTGTATCTATATGTAGCAAAAGTTGTAGAAATTCGAAGTAAACTATCTAACGCTACATTAGTAGTAAGATAATAAATACCACTTAATAAATTAGTGGAATCATAAAAAACTTTAAGAAACGAAAAAAATAGTTGCTATCGGCAGTGGCCAATCCAGAAATTTTTTTTAGGGTGGGCCAAAATAAAAAATAATTACATATTAATATTTTTTTTAGGGTGGGCCAAAATCCAAAAATTATATATATTAATATTTTTTTTAAAAAAAATTGGCCCACCCAAAAATGGGCTGGATCCGCCCCTGGCTACCAGCGATGAATCCGATAGCCATGCGCACCCTTTCAATCATCAAATGTATAGCTTTTAAATCTACTTTAACAATCAATTTGATAATGTGGTAAGCACATCTCTAGTGAAATAATTTGCCTTCATCATCAAATCCAATCTCTTTTCAAATAAAGAAATTGCCAAGGTATTAGCAACTGCATTATCAAGCGTTAGCAGTTAGCACCGCAACTCTCTCAGATAATAAATATTCTTGCAAAACTTCAATAATCGTAAAATAAATAGTTTTAGCATTGTATTTTTTATATAATGCTTTAAAAACCTATTAACTTTTGTTGTAAATGCCAACCATAATCTAGATAATGTAATGTGACACTCAAAAAATCTATTTTTGATCTAGCAGCCCATATATCTGAAGTTAGTGCAATAGATATATTCCTAAAATTTTGAAATTCTTTTTTAAGTTGATTTTTTATTTTATCATAAAGGTTTTTTATGTCCTTTCTAGTTGTAGCTCTACTAAAAGGGGTAAATGTTGAACAAAAAACGGTTTTAATCATTTGAACAAAATAAAGATTTTCAGATAAAGAAATAGGAGAGTTCGTAACACATATGAATTTTTCTATTTCCTCACGTGCTGTGAGTGTATTGTATTGTCATGTTGAGAGAGTTCGGGATTGTGAATTAAAATTAAGTTGAGTTTGAATTTACCTACCTGATGCAGTTGAACCTGAACAGGACTGGTGAGATTGCTGCATTTATTGGGGGTGCTTCTTCTACAAGTTTCGCCGCATCATCGAAGTCCCATTCTTAGCGTCGATAATGGTTGAACAAAAATTACATTTCTCGCACGTCTCTTCCCCCAACCCATTTAGCTTTGGCCGTTTTGATTTGGTGAAGAATTGCCATACCCCAGACACGACCCTCTTTGACGATCAGGCCGTAGAGTCGTAGCTCGCTTTGTTTGGCTGGACCTAGGCTCGACCGTTTGTGGTTGTGGAATTGGAGTTGTTGCCTCTTGAAAGGGTGAAAATGGATCGAACCCTTCCATTTCTTCGATGGATGGAACGTAAAACTAATTTGGGGATGATCCTTCAAATGCATAATTTCGGAAATCTATTATGAATTTATAATAAATAATTAAAATGAAAGAAATTGAATAATAATATGAATAATAGATGAAATTGAAAATGGAAAAAATTGAATAATATAAATAATAATATGAATAAATGTAAATATAAATTGAATTAAAGAGAATTTGAGATTTGGAGTAGAAAGATTGAGAGTTGAGTTGTGAAGAAAATGGAGGTTCGCCGCCACCCCCGCTGACGGGGTTTTTGGTAATTTTCCAAGGGTCATTTTGAAAATAAAAAAAGGTTTGGCCAGAGCCTTGGAGAAGGGCCCAAGCCCTCCTCCACAATTTGGTCCGGTTTTTAGGATCGAACCCCTTAGGACTAGTCCTCACAAGGACCGATCCTAAACCCGAGTTTTTGTGTCCGGTCCTAAATGCCCACGTCTATATCTCACTCTAAAATTTTGAAAGTATTATAGCATAAAATTAAGTTTCAATTTATGGGTTTTTATTGTTTTACTCTCTTGAAGTCCAAATTAACATTCATTTTTTAGGTACTCATCTCAAACTTTGATTTGTAATTATTTAATCCAAATGTTAGTTTCTAATTATTATAATATTACTAAATATACATATATTTATATAGGCATATATTTCTACATGATAAAAATTTGTCTTTAGCCCGTCTAAAAAAAAAAAAATTCTTAAATTACAACAAACTCAAATTTTTACTCAAAAAAACCAGTAAATTAGTACGACTGAATTGAAATATAGTAATATTTATCCACAAAAGCTTTTCACCTCCAAGTAATAAAAATGATTATATCAAAAAATGTTACGATAAATAAGGCAAGTATTGCATAAGCAATCTTTCTGTATCGTATGACATAAAACATGATCAGATAATGGTGAAGGAGAAGATGCTCAAATTAGCAAGGATTAAGCTATAACTAACAAAAAGTGCTCTGTTTTCTTTGTCCCGAAATTCTTGATTGGAGCTTTCTTTGGAACCCAGTTGCCCATCTTTCCACATCTTCACATGCTTCCCATATCTTGCTCTCCTTTTCCCAATCCCATACATCCTTCATAGTTGAATCCATTCCTCCTCGGTTCAGTTTATTGACCCTTCTAACTTCCTTTGAAACCAAAATTATGAAACATTTAGGAGTAATAATTGAGCGTCCCAAGACTCGTTATTTTCGAATTATGAAATTTAATGTGAAAAAAAAAAAAGTAAAATATTTCAAATGATCTTGAGATTATTAAGATATTTCCTGACTGATTAAATAAATAAATCTCCGTGATGCTAGAAGAACTGTAATACTAAACTAGACGGCTGTAACAAGAAATTTTACCTTCCTGGAGAATGACAAAAGGTACACCAGCCGATCTGCATATTTTAGCCCATCT